TCAAGCGGAGACAGTGAGACAAATTTTCTGTCAAAGCTCTTTTCCTTCAGGGCCCTTTCATGAACAGTTTGATGTCCGCATCAACTGCGCTGACGATTCTCATCTGTGAGGTGCCTGTGAGTGCACAGTAAACATAAGCCCGTGCATTTCCACAGTAGTTGTTGAGCTCATCAAATTTCACAGGACAGGCTTTCTTTGACAGGTGTCCTTAATGTTTGAGTATCCGTGCGCGGGAACGCTTACGCACTCACAGTTGCCTATTATTAAAGAAAACAGTCTGCCGTCACCATAGCGATGGCAGCGCTCTGAGATGGCTGCTGGGAGCGCTGAGAGCCCCTTGTCAGAGCAGAGTTTCCACTCGGCCATTTAGGATCACACCATCTCTTCACCTCTACTCTACATTCTGTTAAACAACTGAATCTTTCTGTAAAATTACTTTTTTCTCCCTTTCCTTCCACTCATTTTCATTTTCCTCTTTCCATATAGCTTCTTATTGGCAGTAACTCTATTCGCCAACACGCTTACACTCTCTGAGACACACCTCTATTAGTTTTTAGCTTAACAGACAGACAACACAAGAAGGAAGGACATTGGCTGTCCAAGTTTTCCCACCTTGGACAACCATAATATCCTCTTAAGGCCTCATTATCTGGCATTACTCAGGGGTTTTTTGCACCTCAAACACAGTTTTCATCCTCAGTGAACTACAAATGTGTTTTTAGATTATTTATTCAGATAAAATAAAGCATGTTCCTAGCTGGCAAGTACAACCCACAATAAACACTGTCGCTCACTTTAACGTCAAGGCAAATGATTCTGTCTAAAAATACGTTAGTGTGAGTATAGCATAAAGCAACAAGTACCCATTCATGTGTTTCACCCACCAAGCACAGTTGACTGGGCACAAGCTGTCAGCTTATGTGTTCTGCATGACTCAGATTTTCTGATTAGTGGCCTGTTTGCATAGATACTGAGCAACAAGAAACAAATGTGGCTGAAGAAAAAAGTATTCAATAAAGGAAAAGATTTGTGCAACTGAAGGTTCACTTTACCTTTGGCTTTTGACTCTTAAACTGACCTGGTTTAATTGGTTGTGTGTGAAAAATGCTGCAGATGTTCACAATCAAGCATCCATTAGCCTAAGATCTTACATATTCTACATTTTGCATCCTTGCTAAAGTGAGGTCACTTCCTGAATGTTGTGTATGCTCATCTTTGAATGCATAGCAACAAATGTGTCAGTCCTTTCCAACTCTTTCCAACAGGATGTCAGACAAAAAAGACAGTGATCTGTGTATCCGAATTCTTCACAATTACATGCTCTAATTTTCACTCTCATATGAAATGAAATATGCTGCAGAGAGCAGCAGCAGCAGCAGAGAGAGGTGGAGAATAGTAAGCTGAGGTGGACAACACACAGCAAAAAGGCTGGATTTTATATGGCTATGATAGGCTGTAACTATCAGATCATGGGTAAGTAATAAGATATTTTGTGGTATGCATGTTTAATATGTTCTTTTAATGTTTATGCATTGTTTTCTTAATAGTGCACGATATATATGCTAAACTTCACAAGAGATAAATTATTTCTCTATACCTGATTGTTCATGTCTTACAAGACATTGGATAAAGTTCATACATCAATTATGAAGCAGGTTACAACCTGGACAGAGCACCGTGTTGTCACTGACACAAAGAAACAGGCAACAACTCACATTCATATACACACCAACTTCAAGATTTGAGTTGCTGGTCCAACCTGGAGAATATTCAAGCCAATAAGGAAGAAACATCTAAACACCTTCTATCTATACAGCACTGCTGCATTAAAATTGTTTACAATCTATTAAAATGCTTTAAAAAGATTTTTTCAGACATACCCCATCTCGTCCGTGTAGCCTGTTTAGCTTTGCTTTGTTTCTTTTTTAATGTGTTCTGGCAATCCAGCATATTTCCAGGTCACGGTCCTGCAAGCGAGCCTCTGAGAGACTGGTCATAGTGCAGCTACATGACTTAAGAATAATTTTCCACTAATGTGTAATCATCACCAGTGTGCTTTTACGAGCCGGATAATACTGTAAAACTTTGGCACCCCTAGCCAAGTTCTTTCATCTCGTTCTCTTCACCCTTAATTTTGCTCTTAATTTTTAAGGCAGCGGGATAATAAAATAGCTAGTAAGAACTGGAATGGCTGCAATCTGATGACAGAACTTCGGAAGAAGCTTTTTATGTGATGCGCAATAAAATAATCACATTTCAAAGAATGAGGGAGCGCTATAAAACCTGCTGGATCCAATCTGTTAACACAAACAGCTGTCAATATATGCTGAGTACAGAAGAGTACACATCGCGCTGTACAAATACATGAGCGTTGGGAGAGCATGACGATGAAGACAATACACAAACACACTTTATTCCTGTTAATCAATTTTGCACAGTCATGCGGTTCTAAAAAATGCATGCCAATTTGTGCAAGTGTGCAAACTTATACACACCCAGCACAAAGCCACTGGATATAGAGCTACTGACACTTCCTCTGGGTTGATACTCTTGAACTACAATGACAGGCAAAACAAGTCTTAGCAGAGTATATTCATGCACTATTTAATAACCCTTGGCCTAAGGCCTTCAGCATACTAGGCAGGCAGTGAAGGGTGTGGCTAACGTACTTATTAGTCTTGGACCAGACCTGGCAAGACAACAAAATATTCACACTTCTGGTGAGCAAACAGTAGTCCTTCAATTCAACAAAACTTTCCACTGATAATAAAAGCAGTATTTTTGAGCATTTTATTTGAGGATCTCTTTTTGATTAAATGAGATAAAAGTTTGTTTTGCTTGAAATGCCTGAATGTCAAGTCTTCTTAAAACCTTTGTGAAATTCAAGACAAAATATAATTGCTTAGTTTCCTGGGAAAACTTTGTATAACTGCTGCAAACTGCTGACTATTCCCATACATGACATCCCATAATTTGAGTTCCGTCTCATTCTCTAGCGGTTATGTATCACAGAGACAACATCAACAGTAAGCCTGTCCTCCAAGTGAACTGAGCTCTGTGCCCTGACGAAGCGAAGGGGAACAACAGCCCTTATGGCTATGGGACAGGTAAATTGCACGGGGAGACAAGGAGCTGTTTGTGTGAGACAGTAACATGACACTTTCTAATGCAGGAAGTGATTTTTTTTTCTCCCACTGTAAAATAAAGAATCAGACCCTGAAAGGAGGGATCGTTATAGAAACAATACTGGCACCTTTGTGTCTGTTAAGGTGTTAGAACAAGGTGATGTATGACTGACAAGCAATATGTTCCCAAGCCATGCGTGTCTCATCGTGTATAAAAGTTCACCGCAGTTTGAGCAGCAGTGGCAATATTACCATTCAACATGGTATGGTACAAGAAAATTGCCCTTGGAGCTTGCCCAGGCAGTAACTGAGCTGTGGAAGTGTAACAGACTTCTGTGTACAAGTCGCTGCAAAGGAGACCTGGAAGGAAATTTAAAGTTCTCCTCTTTCCTGTTTATAATTGCTTGTTGCATCGGATAACACTGTCAAACTAAAGCTACAGATCTGAATCCAGCATGCATTGTAATTTGCATTCAGGTATACAATTGTACCTGGTTGCGACTCATCAGCTTCCCTCCTTTCCTTCCCTGGAAGAAATCTCTTTTTGATCACTGAAAATAAACACCAGCACCGTCCCAATGATTAAATCTCCGTCTTAATGTCTGAGCTTTATGTCCAGTTTAGCAAGGCAGTCATGTAGAGAGATGAGGGATATGGTGCTTTCTTAGAGGTTTGGCTCGAGACTTGATAGGCCTCTGTGGCATGTAACTGTACCCAAACATAAAAAGCTCCTCTGCCTTACCATATAGCCACCTTGGCAGTGCTGGTGTTATGCTAACATATCACGTCATAGCACCATCCTGTAATGCCAAGAAGCAGACACACTAATGATTTCTGCTGTGTGAAGATGGATGTGATCTTGATGAGTAACATGACCATGATACGGATAACATATGTTCTGTTGCTTCTTCCCCAGATCAGGAGGTTGAAGGATGATGAAGTGTTAAGATGCCAGATCCCTGAAAGAAAGCCGGGTGATAGTAGAGAGAAAGAAGCGGGAGCAGAGGGAGAAGAAAAAGGAATGGGAGGTATGGGATTTAAAACAGTTCTCATGCAATATGCCAAGTATTAGGCTGGGGCACGCAGTCTATGACCTCACAGCGAGGTAGAGCCTCTCAACAGTCTCACTGCATCAGCCCCTCCGCTTTTGTGGTTTTGTTTGGGACGGATCAAGAAAGCCCAAATTGAGCACAGAACATGGAGGTGGGATGGCAGCCCGAAAATTAACTGAAGTCGGCCAAGCGCTTGTGGTCGTCTAGTCAGGTCAGCACTGGTCAAGGCAGAACATTGCCCCATCCATCCAGTAAAGCAGGCTTACCCTTGTTTTCTGGCATGACTGCGTCACAAAGAGAAGCCCCTGTTTCTGACCCAGAGCCTTTGTCTTTGAAACCTTTTTGGACAAAGCTGCCATGCTGCAGTAGTGGTGCAGACCCTGGACCTGGAACAAGAATCACAGCCAACAGCTTTTGAGGTGGAACCACTGCTCAAGCCCCGCACTAATGTGAAAAGTAAGGCTGGATGTGAGAGCAAGTAGAAGGACCATTTTGGGACTAAGGAACTGTACTCTTAGTGGATAAAGTGAGGCAACCTCACATCATGCTGAGGCAAAAATGGGAAAATGATTACAAAAAAACAAAACAAAACCGCTACGTAAGTTGAATATACAGTTTATTTTAACCTAAATCTCATTCCACTGACAGAGAGACTGGAAGGGGTTTTTCTCACAATTGCTGTCTCATTTTTTGATTCACAACTGGGAAATACATGACTGTCAGTTACTGTTTGTGTTCTCATCAAATATTGTGTATCTTCTCTTGTATTATTTGTAGGGCAGGTCCACACACAAACAATGTTCAGCGGGCCTGTGTGACGCAACTGCAAAGTGCACTCTGAACATGATGCTTGGTAAGTGAGACATTAGACTGTGCATGTGTGAATTGAGAACATTTGGTGTCAATCCTGTTATGCTTACATCAGAAATCTCCTTCTGTCTTTGTAGATTTTGCTCCTCTCCCACAGAGCTGAAATTTATCCAGCAGCAATGTCAGCTAGCCAGGATGCTAAACAGTCCCAGGTGCTGTCAGAGCTAAGCTAACACAATAGGCCCACCTAAACTGTAAGGCCTTTGGTTTCACCTCAAGCTGCAGGCACCTCTCACTTAAGCATCCAAACTATAACATGAAAGTAATGGGCTAAGTAATTGAGCTAACCTTTGTGCACTCATACCCTGTCATGCATAACATCTATATTTCAACTACTATGAATCTCAGTTACATTTCTATGTTTTATGGGCAGGGACTGTTTTGTTTCGTTAAGTCCTCTGTAAGCTTGTTCAATGGAGGTGCTCAGTGCTTGCTGCCAATCACTTGGGTAGGTTTAATATAACTAAAGGATGCCAAACCCAAAACCACTCTAGATAAATTTGTTGGCTTTTGTAAATCCTGCTCCTGTTTAACCAGTAAGGTTAAGGCATTTTGTTGAACTTCCTACATTACACACAATACTTCCTGTTTCTGTTTTAGAAATATATGTGTCTGCGTGATAAAAGAAGCAGAACAAACTTGACTTTTTGTTTGAGTTTCTGCTCTGAATTTGATACACACTTTTAATCTTCAGCAACTGAGCGCGGTGCAAAACCAGAGCTGTGCAGCTGCTACTTTGATGCTTGTAATCCTCCTGTTTGTCAGGTGTGGGTAGCATTGGAGTCAGTATGGTATCTGCACTGCTTAAATGGCTATTTGCCAGCAGTATGTGAGGGCAGTGTGATTGCAGACATAAGCAGGTGAAGGGAGGGGTGCAGTGACTACGTGCTTGCAGAGTGGTTTTACAGAGGCCAGGTTAAGGGGACAGAGGAAGAGAAAGAGCAGAGGATAGATCATGATAAACTACGCTCTGCCACCATGCTCTGACTATAGATATGTCATTCACATTATGCACAAATGCATACCAAGAATGAGGTAAACAATATACTATAGTTCGCACCATCAGAGCCCTTCTTATATTCCGAAAGTCATAGAAACTCGCCACCTCTGCACCTACAACCTTTTAACCACTCTTATCTTTTCTTCCTTTTCCTTTTTTTCTTTTAGTTCTAGGAGACCAGCGGTTCTAGATAGCAGCCAAAATCCCTCGATGACATCATTGTTTCCACTGCTACCACATTACCCTAAAAATCTTTTCAACAGTGTTGTTATCTCCTCTGGCACCAGGCCAATCATTTGTTGATGGTGCTCTTTGTCACTCCATCCCCTAGTAGGAAACATAAGCATCCTTATACAGTGTATACACACACACACACACACACACAAGCATACTCGCTGCCACCTCTGCCATGGAGAATGAGCCAATGTCTGCAGTAAGCAGACTTTGTGAAAACATGTCAGCACATATCCACTTTCTCGGAGGCCATTTTAGCTCGTTTAACTTGTCTAAAACGGAACACAAACAGTGCAAAGCTGCTCTGAACCTGTCTTCCAGTGCAGCTGAAATCTTTTTCATATCGTTTTACATCAGCAGCACCACGCAAAGAAATGGGCTGGGAATAGTGCACATCTCTCTGACTTAAGCTTTAACACAGAAAGCATGTCACCATGCCAAGTGGATCCCACCCCACAGCTGCAACACTGCAGCTCTTGGCCTGCATTGGAAGCATAGACACAAATCACTAATGTAAACCCTCAAAGACAGCCAAAGAAATAAACCCAAGCAACAGCAAAAAAAAAAAAAAGAAGAAGAAGAAGAGAGGGAGAAAAAAATGAATCATTGCAAGAGATACAACCCTATTCCAACATAATGAGATCATTTACTTCATCCTTTCTCTTCTAAACAGAGCTCTATCACTTCCTCTTACATGTCTGATAAAACCAGTGTTTTCTTTTTCTTTTCTTTTTTTTATCTCTCCAAACGTTTGTTGCAGCATTGCCGGGTCAGCCACAGGCCAACTGATGTCATCCGATTGTGAGCTCTGATTTGTTGTAGTGTCTCTATCAATAGTCATCTTTATTCAGCTACTGTTTGTTTTTCAACCCACACAGAAGCTAGACACTTGTCAGCGCTCACACATGACATAATGAGCGAGAGGTGGCTCATTAGTGTGTCAGTTACTCGGAGGATACGACCATCTCATGTCAGACAGAGAAGCACAGAGACAGAATGGAAGAAATGGGGAGAAATGCAGAGCACACAGTAGGCAACGAGTTATGAGGAAATGAAACATAAGCTGCCTTTAAAACAGTGCCATGTGGAGAGAAGCCCTACAGAGAGTAAGGTAGAGGCCTTTAGTTCCCTCTGTCATCTCTTTCACAAAAAACGATCCTATCCTTAACCCTTAACAAACAGAAGGACCAATCTAATTGTTCAAACTGTGTTAAAAGGCTGCGGCACTATCGTTTAATGCAAAACTAACATTAAAGAAGTGTTTGTAGATGCAGGTAGATAGATTTGGAAATCATCACTGATGCACAGGGTAGGTAGGAAGGGTGATATGTTACAGATAAACCAATAAAGTGATGCAAATAAATAAATTAGCTAATTAATTGAATGAATTAATGCTGCTGGATCGACAATTAAAACGAGACAAGAAATATAGGTGCTCAGACTTTGTCTTCACATGTCAGTCTTACATTATGTCTCTTTCCAGATGCTATCTGAGTTGATTAGTGAGTGATGAGTGAGTGAGTGTGTGGATGAGTAACTAAAATGGCATTAAGACAGAACACGAAAAACAAGTATTGTTTCCTGTCTGTCACTGGGAGCCATACATAATAAAGAACAATAAAGCTCAAGTGTTCAGCCTGCAATGACAAGACATTTGTTATGAATTAATTTGTGAATTTGTTATTAATTAATCTATTTCACAGATCATTTGTTCGGTGATTAGTTTAGTCTTTATTGTCTCCCTCAGGAGAAATATGGCTTGGACAAATGTGACTATGAGAGTGAGAGAAAGAGGAACACGGCTCTAAATTCACTGCTGCTGAAGTGTACTCAACATGTTGAGTACTGACAACGAAACTACGGTGCATGTGTGCGTGTGGGTGACCTGCCTGGAGTCAAGTTAGAAGGGCTGGAAGAAAGGAGGTGAGTTACGGGTAGTGTGGTGTTGCATTGCAAGCAGGCAGTGGGTGGTAGAGGTGGAAGTGCAGTGGAGATAATCCCCGGCTTTTGCCCTAAGTCCTGTGCATGCTGGGCAGATCAGTGGCGAGGGAGGGAGGAGTAGTGCTACCCTGTGATAGTCACCCAGCCTCAAGCCTTCCACCTGACCAGCCTGGAAGCCCTGCGTCCCGCAGGCCTGGAAATTGAGCCTTCAGCTCTAATCAGGAGCTGCTGAACAGTTCCTGCTAAGTCTAGCCGAACAGACTTTGAGCTTGTAGTTGGTGCGGCTATGTCCTAAACTGCCCCGTCCACTGATGATGCTATGATCTTTTGCTCACATGCAAGGGGACCATTTAGTCTTCAACCTATTATTCATTATATCTCACTATTTGCAAATCAGTGTGTATAAAAGCCATTGCTGCTACTGAGTGAAAATGGAGTGTACTAAGGAGCACAGAGCGGGTCAGTGGGTTAATGTGTTCAGTATGGCTATGGGTTTGACCCTGGGGAGAGATGAAGCTGATAGGTTAACCCAGGGGCCGAAAGGTCAGCTAACCCCATAGCACTCTTCGAGGCTGAGCCCCGATTCAGCTGGAAATCCTGAAGAGAGACCCCTTCAACCCACACATCACCCTGCATGCAGTTGTGAGCGCCAGCTGTTTAGAAGAGAATGGAAGGAGGGAGAAAAGAAGAGGAAGTTCAGCTGACAGGATGTGCTCCAGTCCCAAGACGCTCGATCACTCCCATCCATCCCACACTATTTGTTATCAATCATACCAAGAATTTTCTTATGTTCATTTCAAGCTATTCCCCCTCATAAAAGCTGAGTTGTAATATTTTTTTAGTGTCACAGCTATAAATAATGCATTTAATTGGGATACCAGTTTCTGAAAAGGTTCTGGTGTTAAAAACAAATACATACAATGCATTCCTCCCAGTGGCAATAAACTCTGTCTCTTCCTCAGCCCATCATAACCTCTTGGTAACCTCAACACCATCACCACTGTCATTATGGCCATCACACTAATCACGCTTGGCCCCAGCTGTAAAGCCACAGTATAACTCCCATGTCCGTTGCTAAATAACTCCAACATGCCCCGGTTGTAAACACTTAAACACTTAGCACACTGCTATACTGGAGGGATTTTTCAGATTGCTAAGCTGACTTTTTTCCCCCTACACCATAAGGTCATTGTTACTTCCCTCTGTTTACTGATTAAGTTCATCTCTTGCTTTCCCTCTTTCTGGGGAGTTCCCAGGTGCTTTAAAGGCATAGTGTGAAGTGTGAGTAGACTGTATCAAAACAGGAAAAGAAAGAGTTTGACATCACTATGGGGAATTTAATGCTGTGATTCTTATTCTATGTCAAGCAAAAGCTCAGCACCAGGATCAGACTGAATTTGCATTTGGTTTCTTAGATGTTAAGAGAAAGATCAGATGGGAGCGTAACTGTGTGAAAAAAGGTTGAATCACTGGTTAGCGTGCTTCTTTCTCACAGCAAAAAAGCAAATAATGAAAGGTGTTCAGTCAGAGTAGTACATTCTAGACGTTAGTTGCATTACATTGTATGCCATGAGAAATTGGGCCTAGTCCAAACAGGTGCCAAATAACAATAACCTGCAGAGATGACAGTGTCATTCAAGCTGCTTCTGGTGGAGATGGGACTGTTTTCTAAAAGCCATTCTCAGGAAGATTCAACATGGGTACTCCCATGAGTACAATGAAGCTTCACAAAAAGGGCTGAATCATTCAATGCCGGAAATTAGATTACAAGCACATGACAGAATCACATAAACAAATAAGCTCATGCACAAATACAACCTGTTACATTATCTCCAACTGAGAAATAAACAAAATTAACAGTGAGTGTAGGTAGTTTTATGGCGCAAGTCTTGCAACCGTCATTTTACACTGGGAGGCAAATCCACCTCCCCTACAGAAACACATTCCCGAAGAGAGGGCATAAGGAGCCAATTGCTGGAAAAATTACACAACCAACCTAAAAGCCTGCTCACTGTCAGACACTGATGCACGTTTCTGGAAACCTCAGGAAAAAAAGTGTCTCACCATCTGAACATATCACACATTAATATTAAGAGGATCTCACTTTTTTTAGCAGAAAAAAAGGGTTTTAGTATTTAACTTTCCCCGATCAGATTGTTTTAAGTGTTGTGTGTTGTCACTGACTACTACTCCTGCTGCATTTCACCCAGAACTAACTGACTGGAAGAGGGCCAGTGCGACGCGTTTCTCCATCCAAATAAATTTCCCTTAAATGTGTGAAATCATGCTTGATTCTGCACACAGGGGAAGTAAACTGTGGGAGTGGCTCAGCTAAGTAAACGCATTTTGTAAAGTGAATCGCTCAGTCATGGACAGACATTTTACAGATGTTCAGAAAATGTAGATTCACGATTTGATAGGTTGTGTAACTCAATGTTTTTTTAATTGGGGAGGGAGGGGGCAGGCATTATTACGCTATTATCCGTCATATTATTTAACCAGAAAAAAACATCTTGTCCAAGGTGCAGAATGAAATGCAGTGACACTGCATTAAAAGTGAAAAACAAATACGAATTTTCAATTGTTTGGAATTCAGAGTTTTCAGAGACGTGGGAAGCTTTTTGAATTTCTAATAAGAAAAGGGACGTTTTCTCTGATAAGATCACATAACATCAACTTTCTGGGCTACATTTCAAGCAGGATGAATATCAAGAGAAAGCTGCCTTTGAAATACAATCACAAGGGAAGAAAAGCCCTGAGTCTGCAGTATTTTTACATCCTCTGTTTCAAGATAAAAGCGCATCTAAGTTCGTGTCAGATTCCTATGATTTCTGCACACGCAGAGCGCATCATGGCTTTAACCTTATTTACCCACAGTTACCAGAATGTTAAGCCTTAATGGGGACATAGGAGTGTTGCAATATTTATTTTAGCATATCTCTTGCTTTTCAGCACATTGTAAGAGCAGAGGAGCCACTAAGTTCATGGTTTGATTTTCCCAAGCTGTGATTTATTTTTTCCTTGCAAAGTGCAAACATTGGCTATATGATGGCGACCTTGGTGTACATGCATGTGAAACGGTGTGTAGCAGCTGAATCAGAAGTGTGTGTTGGTACTGAGGGCCTCACTCATGTGTGTAGACTGTGTAAACAAGGGCTGGGTAGCTTCAGACCTGATGGCTATCAACCAGTCTAGATACAGGAGTGACAGGTCTTATCTGGCAATGCGATTGGCTGTGTACGGTACGTCTGTGTGTGTGCAACAACTCACGGTGTGTTTTAGGATTTTTCTATGCAGATCTGTCAAAGAACAAGCTTAAGAAATAATTAAGAAAGCAAACTGCATACGCTGGCACCGCCACCATCTTTGTGCTATCATTGTGACAGATCACTACTTGAATTCTCGCTGCTCCGCGCCGCTCTGTTAGCTTTACACGTCAGGAAATGAAATTCTAGTGCTGTGTGTAAAAAGGAACTTTGGGTGTGTGTGTGTCACAGGGTCACTCTTTTTCCCTGACCAAAGAGGACTGCTTTGGTGGGCGTGTGTGGGAGGTAGAAAACCATCATGCTGGTTTTTACAATGAAATGAGATCCCACAATATTTTTTAATTACGCAACAAAAAATGGTAAATTTACTATTTTCAGGAAGTAATTAGCTTCCTTCTTGAGTATACAGAAAATCCAGTCTTAAAGGTTGATTATAAAGACTTCAAGAACCACCTTTAATGATGAGGAACATGAACCTGTTTTTGTTTCTTGTTGAGTCAAGAAACGTCATAGAAATTTCTAACATACAAGCAAACAAACAAAAAAAGGTGTTTTACCTGGGATTCAAACGTGATGTTTCTTCCATTTAAAAAGGAAGTGATCTTTTTTTTTTCTCAAGCACTTATAAAACGTTATAAACTGTAAATAAACAAAACATGTGCTTTTAGGGGAATTTTACTTTTACCCTAACTTACCACACACCTCTAAGGAGAAGTCTGACCACAGTGCCTTTTTTTCTGAGCATTCTCACCATATTTCACGATACCTCTTTCTGACAGCTTGACATTAAGACATCATTTATCCTTGGAGCTGACAGGTTGACACCATCCTTCTAAATTCATCAGAGGCATAATGAAACATCTCTAGCTGACAATGTTTCTTTTGGTAAAGTCCAGAGTATCACCAGACTTTCTAACGAAGAAGACAAGTGCTGACCTGACCTTTGACTTGACCTTTTCTCCACAGAGAAAAGGAATGAGCAACACTGTTTGAGAGAACTGACGCCCAAAAATTTTAGTCTTTTCCATTTAAATTTGATTCTTCCTCTTTATAAGTCGTTAAAGGTCACCCAGAGCTGATGCGGTGAATCTCCCTCTGCTGGAAAATTTTCAGATTTTCTGTGTAAAATTAGGAAAGGGAATAAAAAAAAACAATCATTTGTCATAATTTTCTTAGCTGAACAGATTCGGCTCTGCCAGCTGGCCAAAGTTCAAACGTGGTGTTCAGTGGCCTGGGAGTGACGTTCTCACCATGCGGTGACAAGCCCAGAGTGTTTGAGGTGGTCTCTCAGCCTGGATTCTGAGTCCAGGAGTGAAATGGCCTGTCAGAGTGATATATGATGTAGGAAGGGAAGAGGGTTGGCATCCTGGACTTGAGAACTTCTGCCATGCTCCTTCACTTTACACTGGCTCATATATGTCCATGCAACCTTTTTTCTTTCTAAAACATCAATTAAAAAAATACTGTACATACAAAAAACTTTCAGATTGCAGATGTGCCCTTAGCAAGAAGTTGAGAGCATTTTTTAAAATTGAATAATGGTTTAATTTAAGTCTAAGTAAATTAAATAATCTCCATTGACAGTAATTAAATAAAAGCACTGACCTGGACCAAAAACAAAGTGAGAAGTGACTTAATCAGAGAAATAAAATGTCTGTTACAGATAGTCGTATAAATATATTATGGTAATCACTTTTCCAGAAAGCTAAAGGGAAATGTTGCCTTGAATCAACATGTGCTTTCTCATAACATGAAGCTCACGTCATATTTACCATAATTGAAAGTAAACCCACAATTCTTTCTAATTCACCGCCTCTTCTCATTTTCACTCTTGGATCTGCACCATTATTTCTATCCTTGACCGACCCTCCCCCAACCCCCTTCCTTCTCCCCAATCCCACCCCCAAAACTCTCCCACACCCCTTGCCCCCACCCCTTGCCTTGCCACTGCCTCTTTGCATTGATGCTGATAATTACCACTGAATGGATCTGCAGATTCCCATGGATGTCAGTGGAGCCTTTGGCCTGCTCTGTCACTCCCCTCCTCCTCATCCTCTGCTGCTTACCGAGTCTCTCCTTCCCCTACTCAATGAGGATTAGGAGTGAGTAAGAGAGGCAAGTGATGGAGAGGATGATAGATGGTGCTTGCCCAGACCGAAGGATGGTTTGCCATGCAACCACCTTATCTGAGTCACCCCTCCAGTCCAGTCAAGGCTGTCACAGTGAATAAGTTGTGCAGTATCTGTTACCTTAATGTCACTTTCACTTTGAAGTCGTTTTATTGATGAAGTTCTTACTTGGGAAAATACAGCCAAAATACACTCAAGGTAAATCCCATGACACGTGAAAACCTGTTGGAAAATAGGTTCTCTCCATAAAAGAACAATTGTGGAAAATAAGGAGAAAGGGCAGGGTATAGCAGATTCCCACCATTTCTTTTTTGCAAGCAAAGCTGAGCGGATCGACGTCATGGACATTGGGAGCCCACGCATCCTCGGCATGCCAGAGGTAACCGATACCCAGTCGGTGTTCAACCAAGCTCAAAAACCCACTAAAGCTGCTTTCGTCCAACAAAGTCCAAAAAGGGGCCAACCCTGTGCACCACAGTTAATCACATCACACCACAGGAAAGACGAAAGGCAAAGTATGAAAACTAGAGAGAGGAGCACTTTAAAATGGGTAAGAGACTTTACATGATGGGCACGATAAAGACAAAAACCTGCATGGAAAGAAGGAAAAAAATTACCTTATATTGACTATTTAAATCAATACGTACCAGCAGAGGCACATGCGTCACACGACTCTTTAGTGCAATATGTAATGTTCAACATGAAGCATGGACTCTCTCCAAGACCAAGTGGTAATTGTGTCATTTTTTCTTGGGATACAGCACCAATTTGAAGAAATGGTTTGGAGCGTGCTGAAAGGCATCAGTGCTGCAGGAGAGTTTGGAACCAACAAGGTTTGGCTCAGAGCTGTATGTCAACCACCTTCAAATTATCCTCATTAATGACAATTCCAAGGGGAAATGGTCATTTGTATGTGTGTGATAGTCTGGTATACAGGGCCTGTAATATTTCTGGATGCATACCAGTATGAAAAGTGGCATTCATTAGTTAGGGACACAGGTTTTACAGAGCTGAGCCATAGGCAGCCAGCAGATTTTCTGGCTCTGATTCTGTGTGAGAACCTAGGATGTATTATTTGATGTTATAGACCAGTGGAATGACAAATACCACCACTGCCCACAGTTTTAGAAAAAGTGTCATATTCTGTCAAATTCGGAATACATATGCTGACATTATTATTTTTTAAAGGCAACAAGTACAAAGTACAGCTTTGAAAAATCATGTATTTTAATCATCACGTATTTTTACAGGATAAAAATTTGTAATTAATAAAAGCAAATTAGCCATGCCTTGTGGGCACATACTCTCTCCTTGAACTTGAATATAAATGGAGACAGAGTAAACCTTATACCAGAACCATGTGGAGGCTTCAAGTTGTAAGAGTTCACTAGTTGACAAGAATCTTCACATCAAAGGTTTGTGACTTGACACTTCTTGTTGAAATACTTCCTGACGCTGATAGCTACATAAATACTCCATGTAGAGGAGAGGTTGAATGAAAAGGCAACCTATCATTATCCCATCCCTTCTTCCCATCTCCTCCGTATCATTTCCCAAGACTGTTTACCACAAACACAACAGCAACGCTGCCTGAGCTTATTATGGACAGCCAAGCTGCAATACGTTGCCAAGTCCTGCCCCATGGCCTGGGCCTAGCTCTGTTGTCTTGGTAACACAGCATCCAAGAACAGAGGGTGGGGGGGG